TCCGCCGCCCTGGAGAACGTGATGCAAGATGCATCAGCAGGGACAAGGCTGCCGGAAGGCATCAAGACCTCCAATCTCATTCGCCACCTTTCCGTTCTGGTGTCACAACTGGAGAGCGTATCCAACCCCAGCGAGACCAACTACGTATTCTGCCTCAAAGCATCGAGGGCTATTTCTCGCAAGCTCGACGGGATTTTAGACAGTTTTACAGTAGTCAGTTCTATAAAGACCCCGGCCCCTGGCTCAGTCCCAGAGCCAGTTCCGACACCCCCACAAATCGACAGCACAGTCCCTATCGCGATGGGTGAAATGGACATGAGCTCATTGATTGATCTTGAGAACTTCAATTTCACAGACTGGGCAATCAATTTCGACATAGGCATGACTGATGAGTTAAGGATGTTTTGAGCCTCTGAACACTGAACTGAAAGACCTAATTCAACGTTACAGACAGTACGAAAACTGGCCAACGGACCACAATGCACACGGGCAGCCTTCTTTTTCTCGCTCCTCAATTCTGCCGATAATCCCGCTTTGCCTTCAGAATCTCCGCGAAAAGATTCGCCAAGGCCTCCAAGGCACGATCACAGATTTGGTAATGAATGATCAGCCGGCCCTGCAGACGACCCCGCATGGTCTTAACGCCTGCATTCTCCGCCAGATCCGCAAAATGCTCCTTGTCAATTCCCGCGGCCTCCAGATCCAACCATATCATGTTGGTTTCGGTCGGATGCTGAAGCTTCCCGCCCAGACTCACCCACAGCTTAGAGAGTCTCTTTGCCGTTTCTTGGTTCGCACGCAGGCGTCCACCCAGGAAGATCTGCTCAACCGCCACCCGGGCCGGGGCGCACACAATGCCGGCCGCGCGGATGCCTCCACCCAGCAACTTGCGCATCCAGCGGGCCCGCTTGATGAAGGCCTTGTTGCCGATGACTATTGATCCAATGGGGGCGCCCAGACCCTTGGTGAAGCACAGCTGCGCGCTGTCGAAACAGGTAGCGTACTCCTTGAGGGTGCCGGCGCCGGCCGCCACCGCCTCCCACAACCGCGCCCCGTCGAGGTGCATGTGGATGGGCGGGTCCTGACTCCGGGCCCAGGTGGATATTGCACGCACGTCCTCCAGAGGCATGATGGTTCCGGAGAGCGTATTTTCCAGACTGATGATTCGCGTGGGGCAGTCGTACACATCCTCACGGAGCGTGACGTGCCGCTTCACGTCCTCGAGGGTGAGGTGATGTCCGTTGGACGGAGCGACGCCTTGCATGAGGGCTCCGCACAGCGTCGACGGGCCCCCGGCCTCCATGCCGATGATGTGGCTGCGACTGTCGGCGAGGATGCTATAGGGTGGGGCCAGCAGGGCGGTTCGAAGCGCCACCTGGTTGCCCATGGTTCCAGACATGACCAGGAGTGAGTCTTCATGACCCGTCAGTTGGGCTATGAACTCCTGGAAAGAGTTGGTGGTAGGGTCCTCCTTCATGACATCGTCTAGCAGGCTTGTGTTGATGATCGACGCCAGCATGGCGATGTTGGGAGAAGTAACATAATCGGAGCGGAAGTCGTAAGCGGCCTGGCCAGGAGAGTCCCAGGCTGTTTGCTGGTTTGGGGACAAGGGATCTCGGGCAAAGAAAGAAGTCTGGTCCTCCCATGTTTCCTCGCGGGGATCTTTGTAGGTGGATGGGGGCTGAACTGCTCCCTCGCGGAAAGATGACACAATGGAAGACATTTTGCTGAGAGGAAAGCTCGGAGATGATGAAGGACGCTTTTTTGTATCTTGGGGTCCTTACCTTCGCTTTCCCACCCCTTCTTATACTCTTCTCTTCTTTCGTTTCAGCCTCACTCCAAATCCCGAACAATGAAACCCCTCATCGTCCATCCAGCGCTGCACATTGATACCCTCTGGCTTTGCAATATTGATTGACAATTCCGTTGACAAACGGATTGACGTGCGAGAATCCTGCGATGGCTAGTGTCTGGGCCCGTGATGTTCTAGCCACCGGTGAGTCGACCGGAGGAGAACCGACGAGGTTGATCATTGCAACCCTCCTGCAGCCAGATGGATACGTTTCCGCCCAGTAGGGTACTGCAGAAGATGGCGTGCTCCTCCCCTAGCACCCAATTAGTGGCTCACTCCGAGACCGCATATCCTCGGGAAACCCTCGGAGGCGTTGATCGACAGGCTCAGACATATCCCGCGCGGCGACTTTCGTGGCCATGTTTCACCCAGCTGTCAAAAGCGAGTGGAGCGCGGCCCGATGCGGCAATAACGATGCGTACTACGTCTGCAGTCATCTTATGATTGATAATTTTGATCCATCCATGAAGTACTGACGAGAGCGGCTGGAACCGCCGGCGGGACGGTGGAGGTACTTTGGACGTCAAGACCAAGGTTGGCGCCGCACTTGGCAGAGCTACCAAGCAATGTCAAGCTTACGGGGGATTAGCTTGTCTGCGAGGGCCTATGAGGTGTCTTAATCTTGGCGCAGAGTGATATAGCCCCTGCATGCATGCACGCCCCTTGCCGTTGCGTATACGAGCTCCGACTTTCGCATCATGGATGGCGATTCTTATCAATCTGTGCATAACTAGCAGTAGAAGACCTGGAGATCTGAGATCATTTTGCAGGAATGTTGTGTAATTCACGCTCGGACGGGATCTTCAGCAGTATGTCCGCGGTGCGCTTTCAGCCTCCGCACACCTGGCAGGGTGTCCGTGCTGCATTTCCAGGGTCCCGGTGGAGTACCGGTAAGTTAGCAGTGCGCCAGGCTAAGACCCTGACGCGGTCCAGGCACGGGCTGGCGTCGGGAATGCCGTTAGGAGGCCGAGAAGTGGACACCCTCGCCATTTCCCTGATTCTTCACGCTAGACTGGTTCCGCATGTCTTCAGAGCGGGTATATCAATGCTTAGAGTACCTTATAGTCTCCATAAGCACTAAGGCCCGCTAACTGTGCCGATCGTACACGGAGTTGGGTGGCCAGGGTGCAGACTCGGAGTCCGCTCGGACAACCGCTCAAAGTACGGGACCTGGCGCCATGTGGGGGGAATTGCAGTTGTGGTCAGGTCATCATGCAGGGTCGAGAGGATCCTTTCTTCATGTCACCATATGTTACCATCTGTCTCAGCAATGGGCTGAACATTGCGATTTTCACGACGGAGAAGGTTTCCTCCAATGAGGGGGGTGCATTGCGCCATGCCAGCGGCACCGGAGGTGCTGTGTTATGCCTTGGTAGGTTTACCGTACGTCTATCCCAATTGTACAACATGTACCTACAGTACAGTATGTGCATCTCGCTCCGCTCATTGTGGCCTATATAACATCTACTGAACTCGGCTAATCCCACACCACACACCACACCACCTCTTTCCCATCAAGAAAACTTGCAAACTCCATCCTCAACCCTATTCATACCCTCCCCATCAACCACAATGACCAAATCAACCCCCACCCTGCCCCCTCACCTCCAGGACCTCCTCACCCACGTCCGCACGCACTCCCCCTACTACCGCACCCTCTACGCCTCGCTGCCCCCGACCCCCGCAATCCCCACCCTCGCCACCCTCCCTCTCACCGACCCAACCACCTACTGGAGCACGTCCAGCACCACCGCGGCCTCCATCCTGACCGCCCCGCTCACCGACGCCCTGGTGATGCGCAGCGGCGGCTCGACCTCCACCCCGAAAACGGTGTACATGACGCGGGCCGAGTTCCACGAGACCGCCCGCATCGCCGGCGCGCTCTTTCCGTCCAGCTGCGCCATTCAGCCCGGCGACCGCATCGCCAACCTCTCCTCGCAGGGCGGCCTGTACTCCGGGTTCATGACGTACGGGTACACGGTGATGAACAGCGCGGTGCCGGTCGTGAACCTGCCGATCAGCGGGAAGGAGGCGCCCGAGCAGATCGAGAAGGACGTCAACGAGTTCGCGGCGACGGTGGTGATCTGCAATGTGTTCATCGCGACGAAGCTGGCGACGTTCTTGCGGGCACGGGGTAGGGCGTTGGCGAGCGTGAGGCTGGTGCTGTACACCGGGGAGCCGTTCTATGGTGATCTGCGCGCGTTGTATAAGGCTGCTTTTCCGGGGGCGGTGGTGCGGCCCATGGCGTATGCGAGTGTGGAGTGTAAGGTTGTGGGGGTGCCGGTGCCGGAGTGCAATGAGGGGGCCGATGGGGATGTGGATCCGGTGTATCGCGTGGTGGAGGAGGCGGTCGTGCTGGAGGTTGTTGGGGATGATGGGCGCCCCGTTCGGGAGAATGGGGTCAGGGGCACGCTGGTCGTCACGAATCTGCTGAAGCGGCTGCAGCCTACCATCCGGTATCCGATTGGGGATGTGGGCGAGTGGGTGGATTTCGAGCGCGGGCTGTTTCGCCTGCGTGGACGGAGTGATGTCGGGGTTAAGGTCGGCACGGCGCTGTTGGATCGGGCGGTGCTGCGGCGGGTGGTGAGTGGGGTTCTTGGGGAGGGCGTGGCGGATAGTTTTCAGTCGGTGTTGCGCAGGGAGAAGGGGAGGAATGTCGTGGTGTTTAGGGTTGCGGCGGAGAGGCCGGAGGATGGGCTCGGGGAGAGTCTGGCGCAGAGGCTGGAGGATGCGGTGGCAAAGGTGAGTTCGAGTTGGTCGAAGAACCGCGAGGCCGGCCATGTGGCGCCGGTGCAGCTGGAGTGGGTGCGGTTTGAGGAGTTGGTGTTTATCGAGGCGAGTGGCAAGTTGAGGGAGGTGGTCGATGAGCGGTATTAGGATCTTGGATGCGTTCTACCAGGAAGCTGAAAGAAAAGGGGGGTCCGGGGGTTCTCCCCCGGAAACATTTCACTCTCGAACTTAGGGTTGAGGCTTCCCAGGAAGCTGAAAAGAAGGGGGGTCCGGGGGTTCTCCCCCGGGAATTTTTGTATCTAGACTTAGGGTTGAGTTTAACCAGGAAGTTGAAAAAAAAGGGGGGTCCGGGGGTTCTCCCCCGGGAAATCGTTATTCTAGACTTGACAGCATATGTCCCATAGAGGAGTGCACTAAGTTACAGACCAAATGGAGATTCGTGCCATAGTCGTCTTTCGACCTCCAGCTCGTCTTTGTACACATCTCCAAATGCGTCCCAATGAATCTTCTCCAGCTCCGGATGGTTGATGATCCCGTACATGGCTTTGGTGAACTCCCAATACTCGGGGTAGTATCCGGCGTATTCCCAGTCGACAATCCCGTTCAGTCTTCCCCCACTGATCATGAGATTTGTCCAATGAAGGTCAGAATGGGTGAAGAACGACCTGTGCGGACGCGAATGGACGAGAGCTGCCGCTTCTCTCGTTTCTGTGGGCGTATATTCGGGAAGAAGCTGGCTACTGAAGTCGCTTTCCTCGTTGAATGGACCGAGGATTCCAGCACGTTGGTCACAGATCGCGCCCCCTAAGGTATTTGCAAAGCGGAAGGAGGTTTGATTGGGGACTGTTCGAATCTGGTCGACCACAATTTTCAAGTCTATGGTAAGCTGCCTACGCTCAGGGTAGGACATCCGATGAAAGACATTGTGGAGCGTCTGACCCTGGACCGTTGTCATAATGAGTATCCTGTCCTCGCCGTCGTGGTACTCGTCAATGCAGAGGGGCGCTGGAATTGATGTGTGTTGTTCCACCAAGCGCAAGGCCATGCCCTCGTTCTGTTGGGAGCGCCCGACTATTTTCATGTGTAGTCCCAAAGGGAGCCGTTTGACCACGGTACCGGTTTCGAGCGGATAAAGGTACTCTCCGAGGTGAGACAGAAGTTGGTAAGCGCGCACTCTGACGGCCTTGGGCACAAGATGCCAGCACCTGCGCAGTAGTTGTAGGGTGGATTTTCCGCAAGTGACTGTCAGACGGTGAATCAGCCCCAGCTTGAGAATAACCATGGTGGATAACGTACATGTGGAAGGCCTAGGCCAGCCAGCAGCTATAAGGTCTTCGACATGAAAGAGCTGCAATGCGGAGGCAATCCTGTAGTGGGTACGAAATAAGGTTGGGCTGGGTAGGCAATACGTCGCTGGGTCAACAGTATCGATCTTGAAGTGTTGGAATCCGGCGAAAGTAGTACCATCGCTGAGAGGGAAGTCCTTATGATCTTTTGGGTGCGTGCTAGCCACATAGTACTCCATCGCCAGCCCCAATCAGCGACTGAAGAGACTTTTCGTGGGGAGAGGAAGCAAACCTTGGCGGATTTGCCGTCCTTTTGCTGCAATTCGGCCTGGTCAGTCCATTCGCCAGCAGATGTCGATGCCACAACCTGGATGTGACCAGCCCGGAAAGCGGAGTGAGCACCCGGGGAGAGAAGCCAAAGGTTCTCGAGTGTAACCGCCCGGGCGCTTACTTTTGTAGCATCCCCCACATGATAAGATATGATCGATCTCTCCACAACCCCAACTTTATGCTACTGTACCTAACATTCATGTATTGATCAAGACCACCTACACCATCCAAGCTCACATACTCCGTCTAATCGGCTGAAACCAAGATCATGGCCCTCCCTCTAACCCACAAACCCAACACCCTCTCCCTCCATCTCCTCGACCGCGGCTCCCCCTCCACCTTCCACTGGACCCTCTACCTCACCACTTCCCCAACCTGCGGCCAGACCTTCCACCTCATCAACGCCCCGGGCTCGGACCTCTGGACATTCGACTCCCAAGCCACAGAGGGTATCACGCACGGCGGCCGGCTTCTGGTGGCGCTGGAGCTAGGCAAGATAGAGCCCGCGTTGCATGCTGCGGTCGCGGAGCGGCTCGCCCAGGTTTCGGTGGGGTATTCCACAAATCTCCGAGAGGCGATGACGTGTCGCGTCTGGGTGAAAGAAGCGCTGTTGGCGTTGGACGAGGAGGGGTATCTTTTTCTGTCTGTGGGGGGTGTGCAGGGGGTAAACAAGATTCAGGAGGAGGCGAGGGGGTGGGCGATGCGCAATCGGGTTGCTGGACGGGTTGGTATTCAGGTTCTGAGTAGAATATGAGTATGTCTGCTTTGAGGGGGCATAATGAGGATGGGTTGTGAAAGGTGGTACGGTGAGAGGTAATTGGTTATTATGCAGCTGGATACATAAAGCGAGTGTGGATTCTTGGTTAAGCTGACTTATACGAGCCCTTATATATGAAGAACAATGCAGGTTCTTGATTCAGCCATAATAAGAATTAAAATGACCTAATATCATAGTATAGCAATACATCAACAAGACACTAGGGGCCATATATGTTGATTGTGTTGTCAAAAGGTTGCTCACTAAATTGATTTGATTTATGCTGACACAGTCACACCGGGGCATAAAGGCAAAAAAGCGTCATGTCAGCAACAGGGGCTGTGGTTTAGTGGTATAATATTCCCTTAGCATGGGAGAGGTCCGGGGTTCGATTCCCCGCAGCTCCATCTTTTTGCGACCATTTTTGCTGTTCTCCCGGATACTCCCGCTGTCAAGCCGTCAGTAACACAATACAATCAAAATACGAGCAGCCCTGCAGATCTGCTCCTTTCCACATCACACACTCCAACATGAACCTTGTCTGCTGAGAGCAGCCAGACTACTCGCCCACCTCCCGATCCTCATTCCAATGGCCATACTTCTGCATCACCCGCCACTGCCACGTCCGATGCCGCAACGGTCGGCCCCAGAAATAGAACGGCACGAAGAACACCACCACCACCCCGGCGATGATCGCCATCTCGCCGAACGCCAGGGAATACCCACTCTGATCGATCCACGGATTCGTGTAGAAGGAGAGGAGGAACCCGAACGCCGCTAACAGTCATGTCAGCTGGTCTTTGACCTCGCAAAATGCCCAAAACACCCAGACCCAACTGAACCAAACACAAAACCGAAAACAAGACATACCCTTAAATGCCAGAATCGAAACCGTGACCTCCCCCACCGCCGGCCGATAACTGTCAATCACATACACCATCGTGGCGTTGGTGGCCTGCACGATCGCGAAGTTCAACAACCCCAGTCCCAGCGTCGGCACCATCCAATGCAGCCGGTCGTTGATGCCCACCCCGTACAGGATCAAGGCCACGGGGGCGCACGCCCCGCCGACGACGACCGAGGGGAGGCGCATCTCCGGATGGCGGATGCCCCCGTTGCGGCGCGTGAACCAGTCGGCCGTCCAGTCGGACAGGTGGCCGCCGAAGGCGATGCCGATGGCCGAGCCGACCATCCCGGATACAAAGCAGAGGCCGATCTGCCAGGTCGTGAAGTCGTAGGCCGCGGCGTAGGCGGTCGCGAAGTTGGAGGTGATGGCGACGAGGAAGCCGATGGTTACGGCGAAGACGAGCGAGGTCCAGAGCACTGGCGGGAGGACGATGAGGGCGATGGGGCGGAGGAAGATCTGCAGCAGGGACTCGGTGGTGTAGGTGCCTGTGAAGAGGCGGAGGGAGCGGAGGTAGGGCTGTTTCTTCTGGCGGGAAGTAGGGTTGGGGGTAGCGGATTCCAGGGGGTGTGGGGTTGGGGGGTTGGATTGCTCCGCTAGCAAGGCCTTTTGGCGGTCGAAGGTGGTCTCGGGGAAGGTGAAGACAACCAGCAGAGTGACGCCTCCTATCAACGCGGTCGCCACGTAGTAGATGTACCGCCAGCTCAGGGTGATGGTGATGAGCCCGTCAATGATGATCCCGCCGGCCACCCCCATGGAGAGAGCGGCAGTATACAGGGCCATTACCGTGCCTCGCTCATGTAGGAAGAAGATATCGGCAATTGTCAGCGGGCCCAGGCACTCCCCGGCCCCGGCTGCAAACCCCATGACGATCCGCCCGGCCAGCTCCACCCCGTACGTCTTCGCAAACCCGGTCCAGAACCCAGTAACAACGTACAGGACAAAGGAAATGACATAGATGGGCCGGCGGCCGTACTTGACGATGAACGGCATCCAAAAGAGCATGCCAATCCCCTGACAGAGAGCGGTGGTGCTGAAGAAGTAGGCCACCTTGGAGATATGGGCGCTGAAATCGGGGCCCTGGGGTCCCAGGAAGTCCACGGTGATCTCCACGATAGCCACAGTCGGACCTGCAGACAGAAAATTGCAGAAGAAGACGGCCAGGCAGACGAGGACGGCAATATAGTATCGGAACGCAGAGGACCTGGATGCAGATTGTGATTAGTACGACCTGAAGGAAGACTGACTGGAGACAGGAGGATAAGGGGATAGGGCTACCAGTTGAGTGGGTCATTAGGATCCCCCGAAGGTGTAGGGACCAAGAGGATCTCGTTTGTCTCATGATGGCGGAGACGTAGAGTCCCCAAGGTATCCTTTGGGACGGTCTCGTGGTGGGTTTCGGTGGGCTTCGAGTCCATGCTGGGCGGCTAAGGGGCGAGGCCTGGACAGCTGTGCTCGGGGAGAGGAGCTGGACCTGCCTTATATAGACAAAAGCAACGATGTGCAGGCAACGGCCTTTAGATGAGAGCGGCACGGCAAACGAAGAGGTGGTGGCTGTCATGTTCACTTCAGAATACACCGGTCCCAGCCCTATTCAGAATCACTGTCGCGGTGGGCACCCGGCGCAAAGGGGTTGAGTGTCCTACAGTACAGCAGTCGAAGGAAATCACAGCGTCAACGACCTTGGATCTCCTTTTCCCCCCACACTCGGGAACGAGGGTCGTCTTCCCCAGATCTGCGAAATGCAGAGAATGGTACGGAGTAGATGCTTACGAGTCTCAGGTTGAGAGAGCGGGGTAAAGGGTAAGGGTTAAAGTAAGGCAAGTGGTCCACAGCCAGTCCCCGATTGCTGCCGCCACAAACAAAGCCTGAGCCCGAGCCCTAAGCCATTTGCTGACTTCCATTCTGTCGGCCGCAGCTAGTCTGCATATAATTAGTCGGCTCCAGCCCCAATCATTTCCCAACAGCTGAATTAAATTCACACCATCCATCTCTTCCTGAAACCATTGTTACTTGTTACCTCCAACACGATGCAGATAATCTGGCGCGACTCTGCGCCCCCCGCCGAATACGAGGAGGCCCGCGTGGGCCGAGTCTTCAACCACCGACGTCCCGACCGCTTCCCCCTGGCCGTTGTCAAAGCCACCTGCCAGGAAGACATCATCGCAGCCGTCAAGCTTGCCAAAGCAGAAAACTGTCGGCTTGCCGTGCGCTCCGGGGGCCATTCGTGGGCCGCCTGGAGTGTGCGTGACAACTCGATTCTCCTCGACCTCGGCAATTGTAAGCAGCTGGACGTCGATCCCGCCACTCGCACGGCGAGAGCCACACCCAGCATGACGGGACGGGAGCTGAATGGTGTCCTCATCAAGGAGCACAATCTGATGTTTCCTGGGGGTCATTGTCCGGATGTTGGACTGGGGGGATTTCTGCTCCAGGGCGGGATGGGGTGGAACTGTCGGGTACGAGCTCCCCTAACCAGTTGCTGTATTCCCACGCCCCGAATGACAATTACCCCCTAGAATTGGGGCTGGGCGTGCGAGCGCGTCCAGGCTGTCGATGTGGTCACCGCACAGGGCGATTTTCTACATTGCAACGCCACCCAGAACCGGGAGCTGTATTGGGCTGCCCGCGGTGCCGGTCCGGGTACGCGACGCACATTCCAACACTTCTCCCTCCAATCCGATCTCCTAACAAAATCACCTCATAGGCTTTCCCGGGGTCGTCTCGAAGTACCACCTCGAACTCATCCCCTACCCGCGCGACGGCTTCCGCTCGTCCGGCTACATCTACCCGATCCGTCTGTACCATGAAGCCTTCAGCTGGGTCCTGCAGGCCACCCCAGCCTCCGATGAAGACACCGAGATCGCCGTCGTCGCGCAGTACCCCGAGGGAATGGGCGAGCTGTGCCTGTTCGTCCTCTTCGTGACGATGAAGCCCGATCCCGCGGCCGCGGAAGCCGCCCTCCGCCCGCTGCACGACTCCCGCCCTGCCGGGGCCATCGTCGAATGGTTCTGCGAGACCGACAGCTTGGAGAAGCAGTACGAGAACCAAGCCAAAGCCAATCCGGAGGGCCACCGGTACTGCGCCGAGAACGCGTACATCCGGAACGAGGCGGATGTCCCCGCCGTGCTGGAGGAGGCGTTCACCACCCTCCCCCACCGCAAGGCCTTCGCCCTCTGGTACGCCATGTACCCCTGCAGTCGGCGCAAGCTGCCGGATATGGCGTTGAGTATGCAGAGTGATCACTACTTCGCGCTGTATACGGTGTGGGAGGAAGCGCGAGATGATGCGCGCTGCCAGGGGTGGGTGGCCGATGTCATGCAGAAGGTGGCGCCACATGCGGTGGGGGCGTACCTGGGGGACTCGGATTTCCAGGTGAGGAAGACGAAATTCTGGGCGGATGACAATGCGCGCAGGTTGATGGGGTTGAGACGGCGGTTTGATCCCGAGGGGCGGATTTGTGGGTATCTCGATAAGGGGGATGCATCGGGGGTACGGGGTTTGGTTATTGAGAGTGAGGTCAAGTTGTAGGGTGTCTTTGTTAGTATAGACTGTTGTTTTCTGGATACAGTAAATGAATAAATCTTTTATCTACTGTTTTGGAAGTGTGGACCGAGCCAAATTATAGCAGCAGCAGCGCTAGTGGGATAAGATTATGGCCATAGCGCCTGTGACCCAATCAGACAATGGAACGCAGTGACTAAGCGGCACCTTCCCCAGGTTTTAGCCTTGGCAGGATGAACAGGCAGTCGATGATGGATGTATTGAGGCAGCATCTGAATGAGCACCCCCACATTCCGCTCCTTCCACGTCTTTATTGGTGAGATAGGTAGTATTTGAGATGACTGAAGCACAATCCCAGCAGAGGATATCAACTGTCATACTTAACACTCTCAACCAGATGTCTCTCCCTGCAAAGCGTGGACCCAGATATTATAGCACACAGCTTGGATGCGGGTCTTAGCCACCTATTTAGGCAGAAAGATATACCGGAGAACTAGTTTTCCGGCACTAGCCAGCCAAGCTTGCTAGGAATTGATCGCTTGATCGACAGGGAAAGCAATCTCCCAGTCTCTTCCGAAGAGCCCACCTCCTCGGGAGTAAGAAGCATCTCAGACATCAGGACAAGAAATGAGGAAGAATGCACTGAGCTGATCGGGTTGTGGAGACATTCGGAAGCACAGGTTGACATGTCCGCCGGCTGGTGTGGCAAGACATCCGACAAGCAAGCCCTACCATGCGGGGATCCGCAGACGTCACCCTGCTAGAAAATGTCCACATCCACACATCCCTTATGGTATAGCTTGGTCCCTCCTGACA